TCAGCGTCGCCTCCACGTCTCGCACATGCGTCTCAGCATCTGGGCTGAAGATGATCACATCGTCAATGTAACACGCTGCCCCTTTCACCTCCCTCAGCACTGCATCCATGACTCGCTGGAACACCGCGGAGGCGTTCCTCAAACCAAAGGGCATGAAGTTCCATTCATAGAGTCCGTCTGGCCCGTGAAACGCGGTCTTCTTCTTGTCCTCCTCGGCTATCGGTATCTGGTTGAAGCCCTGGCGCAAATCTAGGGTGGAGAAGACCCAGCTTCCCTGCAGCTGGTCGAATATCTCTTCGGCCATTAACATGGGGTATCTGTCTGTCGCAGTCACCTTGTTCAGTCCCCTATAGTCCCCACATATGCGACGGGACAGGACTGCGCCTGTCAAATCTGTCCGAGCTGCTACAACTGTGGCGGCTGCGTAATCCGATGTCGACCGCCTGATCAGGCCTGCCGCCAGCAGCTCTTGGCATTTTTCGGTGCAGATGCTGATGTCTTGCGGGCTCATCCTCCTTCGCCGCTGATACACCGGTACTTCGCTAGTCAAAGGTAGACGCATGGTGCTTGTCACGCATTTGCCTAGCTGCTGTATTGTGTGGGCGAATGCTGCTGAGTGTTGCCCCAGCACCGCCTCCAGCCTGATTGCCGTGGGTCCTTGCATGGCGCTTCCTATGTCCCATCGAGTTTCAGTTGCCACGGGCGGCGCTACTTCCGTCCTGTTCCCCACCGTTCCCTCTCCTGCTACCGCCGGTGCTACCCTTGCCTCTCCGCCTGCTTCCTCCGCCTCTTCTTCCCTTTCCTGCTCCAATCCCCTTAGGTCCGCTGCCTAACTTGCCATGTAGGCCCTGCTGGGTCCTAAAAAGACTTCGTCCGGATCTGGTATCCACCGTTCCGTCGGATCTTCCTCCTCCTCTGAATCCCAATCCATCTCCGGCTCTCCTTCCCACCACTCCTCTTCTTCCTCTTCCTGATCCGGATAGCTCCCTGGTGTCCCCAAGTGATCATTCAGCCAGGCCATCCGCTTCTCCTGCGGCACTCCCTTCCTTCGCATCTCCCACGCCTCCTCCTCTAGGAGCTCTAAGAATTTCTCGGCCTGACTCTCCTTTTCTGCATCGTCCTCTGTCTTGGGATCTGCCCGTGCTGCATGGTCCCTTCTCCGCTCCCATCTGTTGCGCTCCAGATGCCGGTCCATCGTTGCTATCAGCCAGTGCAGCGCGTTGAGGTCCATGGCCTTCCCGAGGGCTCTCCTCCTCTGTTCCTCCGTCACATCTGCGCTCGCGGTCGCTCCTGCCATGAAGCCCATGGCCAGCTCCCGTTCCATTGCGCTCGGCTCCTCCCAGACTCCTTTCAACCGATCAAACACCATCCCTGGCCCCTCTTTCCCGTTCTTCAGTTTAAAACCCTCTGCATTCTGGTACGCCACCAGCGTGGGCCAGGCCTGCCTCAGCTTGCCGACTTCATTGCACAGGTACTGCGTCTCATGATCCGTGTGGCGCACTGGTGCTGGGATCCGCGCTGGCTCCAGTATGTCCTCCACCAATCGTGGCCTCGGCCTCTCCATGAGTGACAGCTCATACTGTAACACGGCTTCTGGTAGCACGTTCTGCCAATACCTTCGTGACCTGTGTGACCTGCTGTCATTCTGAGCTGCGTCCCACGCTACCCCTGCTCCTAACTCCCCTCGGATTTCTTCTTCTGCTTGCTTCACTGCCTCTCGCTGATCGTCTCTGGTATCCACATTCTCCACTATGTACGCCACCTCCCCTTGCTTGCGTTTGATCAGCTTCAGGATCCTGATGAGCTCCCGGAACAGTCCGCTCCTTGGGTCTGCCATTCCTCGTCCCTCCCCTGCTCTGGACAGACCTTGACACTCCCAGCCTGCCTACCAAGTCAATGTGTCCCCAGTGGGCCAGCGCATCCTCTTTGACATCTTCCACTCGATGGCAGATCCATTCTACCCCCTGTTCCACTACTCCTTCATACAGCTGCGACGAGTACCTTGCTTCCAGCTTCTTTATGTGATGCCAAGATATCGTGCTCGCGATGTCATCATTGTCCACATAGATGTACTTTTTCACGCTCAGACCCGCCTTCAGTGCCGCAGCCAACCCTGTGCTGATCCCCCCAAATAGTTCCAGCAGCACAATCGGCTTCTGAAACACTCTGCCATCCAGGTGCAGCTGCCTCAGGCTGCCACTCTCTCCCCACTGTTGACGGTGCCAGTCCCTGTACCTCCTCTCTTCCTCCAGCGCTTCCCAGTTCAAGCGCCCCATCTCCTCCTCCGCCGTCTTCACTTCAGCTTGATACGCTTCTCTGGGTTCTCTTCGGATGAAGCGCACCGGCAGCTCTGCCACGCAACCGTCATACTCCCAATATGTCACTCGATACGTCAGCCGCTCCTCCCACATGCAGATGGTCAAGCCGATGCTATAGAGGAACTCCACTCCTAGCAGCAGGTCATAATCTTCTGAAGGCGAGATGCCGCACTGCAGCTTCACCGAGCACTCCTCGGGACTTCCTTGCCTAATCATGATTTCCATCGTGGCCCGCGTCTTTGGCATCCACTTTGTGCCGCCTCCTTCAGCCGTCATCAGCAGCAGTCCCTCTGCTATCTGCCTTTCTGGCCTATCCAGCTGCAGCTGCTCCACCAGCCGCCTTCCTATCAGTACTGGGTGGGCTCCCGTGTCAATGATTGCCTGCTTCACCGGCAGCCCCCCTATTGTAATATACCCCTTCTCTGCCACCAACACCGACGCTGCGCAACTGAGCCTCTCCAGTGGATGCCGGCGAGGTGCCACTCCTGCCCTGTCCTCTCCTGCCAGGCTCCTCGGTCCGTGCTCTTGCCGTCCTTCCGTCCTCTGCCTGAGGTACCTCTCTCTTGGCCTTAGTCCCAGCTAGTCCCTCTCCCTTGCCGGCCTTGCCATGAAGCCACATTCCTCTTCGCTTTCTCCTTCCTCCTCCTCCTGCCTGGCCACCATAGCTGGCCTTCGCTCGGGTTCCCTCTCTCGCTCTTCCAGCTGGGCTCTCAGCCGCTCGATCTCCGCTCGCATCTCCGCCACCTCCCCATTTTCTCGCGGCTCGCCTCGACGAGAGTAGCACTCCTTCTCCACATGTCCCCTCCTCCCGCACTTGTCGCATGTCGGCGCATCAGGGCACTCCCTCCGCAGATGGTCTTCCTTCCCACAGATGGAGCATGCCGGTGGGTTGCGACAGTCGCGTCGCAGGTGTCCGCTCCTCCCGCAGTTGTGGCATGTGCGAGGATCTGCCGGTCCCCTTTGCGGCCGCTCGTGCTCTACCGGACTGGCGCTCCAAGCTGGGCGCCTCCGTTCCACTGATCTCTCCGCGGTGCGCTCTACTTCGAACAGCCGCCGCCCCGTTTCCACTATCTTTGCAGTTTCGTACGCCACCTTCAACGTCGCCGCTGCTCCCAAGTCAAAGATCTTCACCTGCACATCCCGCTGCAGTTCGTAGTTCAATCCGTTTAAGAACTTGCTGACGAGCCGCCCTTGGTCCGTGCAGTTCATGTCCTCCCCTATCTCCATCAGCCTCCCGTAGTACGCCAATAAGGATTCTCCCGTCCTTCGCTTGAAATCGCGGAATTCCACGACCCGCTCTGGCGTCTGCAGCGGAAACTGCTAGCGGAGCATCTCCAAGAACCGCTTCGTCGGATCTCTTTCTCCTGCTCTCCCCTGCGCCGCCCAATCCAGCAGCTCACGGCGGCAAATCCGGTAGTAGGTCTCCGCTTCTCCCGTCAACGTATTCGCCAGCCCTCGGAAGAATTCTTCCGCTGCCAGCTGATCTCGCTCCCATCGCGCCCGGAAGTTATCCAGTTGCATGAGGTAATTTTTCATTGAAGGCCCTCACCGCACCTCTCCCGAGAATCGTTCCGGCACTTCCACCTTCGGTAGCATGGTGTATCGCCACCGCGCCGAAGCTGCCTCTTCCTCAAATCCCTGCCACGACGCACTGCGCTGGTAGGGTCGACCCGTTCCCGTCCTTACTCCGGCGTTCGTACCAGTCCCTTCCGACACCGATTTCTTCGCCTCGCCCTCCTCTCCCGCTTCGCCCGTCTCATGCGTCTTCTCGCAAGCGGTGTCGGAGCCCGTGGCTCCCCCTTGCCTACCGTGCTCGCCTCCCTCCGCGCCGTGCGCGCCGGCTCTTTCCTGAGCCTCTACGTCGTTCTTCCCGTCACCCTCCATAGCTTCGCTCACCACTATCGGTTCCTTCGCGGCGAAATCCAATCCTGAACTCGTGGGCATGCCTCCTCAGATTGCTTGTATGTGATGAGCTCCGTGCTCCTTCACATACTAGACATTTCTTCCCCTATCTATGATCCTTTGCTCGCCATACCTCCCTAAGTTCACTGCTTGCTCTGAATCCAGCAAAACACTCGTGTAAAAGGGAAACATACAAGCAATGGATAGTCAGTTCAGGTATCCACCTATTCTACCAGCGCTACCACTGCCATGGTGCTGTCCTATCACCCTTGCCTACGCTAGCAGCTATGAGCTGCTTTACGCAGACTTACAGCCGGGCTTCCTCTTGCCACCCTCCCCTGCCTTGTCTGCTCTTCCTCCAGCTGTTACTTCCAGTTCCAGCTGGCTCCCCGAACCTATCCTGCACACATAGGGAAACAAACACGCATGCATACATTCACCCATCCATCACGTCTCGCGCTGCTGCTTCCTGCTGCCGCTGCCTTGTCTGCCTCTGTTTCTGCAGCCCGCCCCTCCTTGCTTACGTCAGCTCCAGCTCTCGCTCGCCCATGCAATCCTCCAACCCTCAGGCTCGGCAACCGTCAGCTCCCCTCTTCCCTTCTCCGTTCGTGAAACGTCGAATGTCTCTTCGGCTCCCGTCCTCGCTGCACTCCGCTTCGCTATGTACAATATCTACAGTATACACAGTCCGTTCTCGCCCTGCCTTACCCTTCGCATTCATGCAAATGTGACAAGTGAACTCACCGCACCCGCACGTGCATCTCAGCCCGTGTGTGCTGCTCACCTAAGGGCGTGTTTAGACTCCTCTGCTGCCTCCAACTCAAGAGCCTCCAGCAGCAATCTCACGCTCTCCGGAGTAAACCCGCCCGCGCCCGCACCCTCCTCTTCCTCCTCGCCATACTCAAACCCCCCGGCAGGCACGGACAGCGGCTGCGCGTGAGCCTCCTGCTGCATCCCACCATGCTGCATCCCACCATGGCTCACTCCTCCACTGCTGTACACCCCGGTCTGATCCAGCCGGTCAGTAGCATTGGCCCCGCTGTGTGATCGCCACAGCATCTTCATCGCCTCCTTGGCTGCCTGCGCCTCCCTGCTCGCCCTGTCATGGCCATGCGACGAACCTGCGGCCGAGCATCATACTCGAACGCGCGAGGGGAACACCTGAGGCGAGGAGGGGAGGAGAGGAGGGGCGTGGGAAAGGAGGGGGGGGTGAGGAAGGCAGCACTGAACTGCATCCCGTGCTTCTCCGCCTGCCTACGCCTCCCTGCACCCTGCTCCCGAGCATCGTACTTGAATGGCAATTTTTGAGGCGCCTCAAAACTTGACGAATCCGCTGCTGAGCATCGTACTTGAATGCGAGACGGGGAGACCTGACGCACGAACGAGCATGGTAGGAGGATATGGGAAGGGTGGAACAGTTAATGCGGGGAAAGAGCGGAAAGCGGGATGAGGGAAGGAGGGGTGAGGAGTTGCATGCGAGAAGGACTCGCGGTCGAGCATGGAGCTTACTTGCGAGAAGGGAAGTGTGTGACGAGCAGGGGCGAGCAGAGCAGGGGGGAGCAGCACAAGGGGGAGCAGGGGGGGGGGGGGGGGGGTGGGGAAGCAGCGCAAGGGGGAGCAGGGAAGGGGGGAGCAGAGCAGCGGGGAGCAGGGGAGGGGGGAGCAGCGCAAGGGGGAGCAGGGGAGGGGGGAGCATTGCAAGGGGGAGCAGGGGAGGGGGGAGCAGCACAAGGGGGAGCAAGGGAGGGGGGAGCAGCGCAAGGGGAGCAAGGAAGGGGGGAGCAGCACTTGGGGGAGCAGGGGGGGGGGGGCAACACAAGGGGGAGCAGGGGAGGGGGAAGCAGCACAAGGGGGAGTAGGGGAGGGGAGTAGAAGAGGGGGGAGCAGGGGAGGGGGGAGCAGCGCAAGGGGGAGCGAGGGAGGGCCAGCAAGAAGGCTTGCCTCCAGCCTGAGTGGACGGGAGATTCGCTGCGGAACACGACGAAAACGATTGAACGACAAAAGTGACCCGACCGGGGCCAGGAAAAGCATCCGCCAAGGACGAACGAGGAGGGATGAAAGAGTGGCGAAAGAGGCGTTAGATGGGAAGAGCTGGAGAGCTTACTTTCAGCGCTCTTCTCGAGAGCTTTGCTTGAGAAAACGAGATTCGCGTGTTGATGCTGGCGAGCTGCGAGGTACTTCTGGCCAAACACCGAACTGTATCCATGGGTAACGTCGTTCAGAATTGCGCCCTGGTTAAGAATTGTTGACACCCCTGGTTTGCTGTGATACAGAAGTCGCCAAAAAGGTTGGGCAGGGGTGGGGAGGGAGGCAAATAAGAATTGGAAGACCTTTTGTGATACGCGTCAAATATCTGAGGGTCGCGAAAGGGGGCATCAGAGGGATGGGAGAGGAAATGAATGCAAGATCTAAGATCTTGCTGTGTTTCTCCCCAATCGCGGTGGGTTGGCGCTATTCTTTCCAACATGGCTACGAGCTACGATGGTACTTCTAGGCGGGCGAGCATGGCTACATGCGAGGTGGTGTGGCGACTCGGCTGCCAGGGGCTTACCTGTTTCCTTTGGGCGAGGCGGTACTACTGCCTAACGGTTGGGTGCGTTGTGCGCTTCTTCTCTCTCGACTGACGTGGCTGTTGGTTTGGAATGAAGGCACGGGTGGTATAGGACGGGCGACGTCGTTTTGAGGTCGAATAAGCATAAAAAACGAGCAAGACTGAATCAGGGAGGCAAACATGGCGTGGTATGCTGCCGAATTTCCCCAATCAGTTCTGCCTACGTTTGGTAACCAGTGCAATCACGGAAACCGTTTGCGAAAATTTTTATAATCTCCAGACCTTGGCTGCGTTCTACAGGCGCATCAGGGCTCAATTCGCTACGGAAAAAGGACGGAAGGAAAATTTGAAGCTTCTTCTATGAAGCTTCCAATCGCATCAGCTAGGGCTGTTCAGTGCGGGCTATAGGGTTGAAATTTTTGGAAGCCGCTGTGTATGTATTGGTATATGTGGATGACCTCTTGCTTATGTATCCACGCTTGGAGCTGATCGGTCAGGTCAAGGAGGTGCTTTCTCAGAGGTACCAAATGTAGGATCTATGTGAGGTATCCACATACCTTGGTGGGGAGGTTCGCAGGTTGGTCAAGGTTTGGTGATCTGCTTTATGAGACACATAGGGTGCATTACTTCCATGTCACCCAATAATCTTTCTAAAATCAGGAAAGGTACTTGGTCGAGTGAGGAAGGTGCTGCAGCTGATGTCAAGGTGCACCAGAGTCTCATTGGCAGCTTGATGTATGCTGCTGTGACTACCCACCCTGACATGTCCTACACTGTCAAGACCCTTGCACAGTCATGCGTGGCACCAAGGCACATTTACATGCATGCTGCACTGAGAGCACTCAGGTACTTGGTCGACACAGCTGATCGTGTCATCATGCATGAACGCCAAGGTGGTGAGCAGGTTGTTGGGTACACTGACTCGGATTGGGGTGGTGAGACTGATGGCAAGAGTCGCTCATGCGGAGATAACTGCTACAACGGGAGCTAGGCTGCGGGCTAGGCACGGGTGCTCGTGTGATCTCTGCGTTCCTCGGTCCTTAGTCGTTTTCCTAGTGCACACACTGCTTGCTAGTTCACAAGGCAAATTGGCAAGAGTTTCACTAGAGAAAGTAGACAACAATGATCCAATGAAGTTGGCTAGGCAAGACTACATCAGAGCTAGGATGCAAGCAGGTCGACTGCCAGCGCAGCACGGTCGACCGCGTGCCAGCACGACTTGGTCGACCGCGCTCCAGCAGTACAGAGACGCGGCTTGCCAACGCTGCAGGTCGACGGCGAGACAACAGCGCAAGTCGACGGCGTGCCAGCGTTGCTCCTGCAGTCCAGCATCGCACCCGCTTCGCAGGTGCTCGTAGATGATTGGCGCGCACTGCTTCGTCACCTGCACAGCGCACACACCAAGTCCACCTCGTGCTGACGACTGCATCTGATGCACCACGTCGACCTCGGGATACCATCACCGAGGTCGTCCTTGCCAAAACCACCTGGGCGACCTTCGCAAGCCTTCGCAGCACCTCGTCACCCAGGTAACTTGGTCGACCGGGCAACCAGGTCGACCAGAGGCTCCAGTGCGTGCCCGTCGACCACCCAGGTCGACGACCACTTCCGGTCGACCTCCCAGGTCGACCACTGCCTCTGGTACGTGCCGGTCGACCTCCCAAGTCGACGGCCACCTCCAGTCGACCTCCCCAGGTCGACCACTATCCCCTGGTCGACCAGCTCCAAGTCGACGTCACCCCTTGTCGACCAGAAGGTCTGGTCGACGTCCCAGGTCGACCAGAAGGGGTGGCCGACTTCCCAGGTCGACCAGGAGGTCTGGTCGACGTCCCAGGTCGACCAGAAGGTCTGGTCGACGTCCCAGGTCGACCAGAAGGGCTGGTCGACTTCCCAGGTCGACCAGCCGAAGTTGGCGCCCTCCTGAAGTCGGCGCCCATGCAGTGGCTCCCCGTGCAGGTCGACCAACCTCGTCGACCAACTCGCCCACTGCTGCAGGTCGGCTGCACCCTACACCCGACCACGAAGTCGGCTCCGCCCAAGCGAGGACGGGGCCAACATACAACTCCCGTTGACAGCTCTGCCTATATATTTAAGTTGGGAGGTGGAGCTATCAGCTGGTATAGCAAAAGGCAAGACTGTGTTGCAGCAAGCATTTCTGAAGCTGAGTATAAAGCTCTATCGGAAGGAGCCAAGGGGGCCATTTGGTTGAAGAGTTTGTTGGCAGAGATGCATGTGGGCAATGGGTGGGCTATTCCATTGTTCTGTGATAATGAGGCGGTTATCTATCTAGCCAACAATCTCGTTCTCCATCAGCCCACCAAGCACATTAAGGTGGCTTGACACTTTGTACGGGATGTGGTGCGCCAGCAGGAGGTCGAGGTGCACTTAGTACGCTCTCACCTCCAGGATGCCAACATGCTCACCAAAGCTCTCCCAAGTTTGCAGCTACACGAGAAGCTTGAGCGCGTCGGCATGCAATATGATGGCTTCAAAGGCCGAGGCTTCATTCGCTAAAGGAATTATGTTTTTATTGATGGGTGAACTTTAATGCTTGTTGGAGCAAAGGGGGGTGTTGGAATTATGGTTAATTCGAGTAGCTCCGATACATATTTGTAGTGCTAGATCTACACTATATTAGTTGGGTTGGGAGAACTTGTGGTGTACACTGTTCAGAGTGGACCACCTCCCAAACTCTATAGGTTAGGGTTCTCTCTTGTTGGAACCTCACTTCTTTCAAAAGCCCTTTGTTGGTTCTAGCATGGTTCATGCCCAAGTTGGCCCCTAAATTTCCTAGGCTTTAGGAGGAGGTTCTAAGACTACTATAGCTTCCGCTAGTAGCTTAGACCATTCTAACAGCCCACCCCGAAGATTGATGTTGCCTCTTGATTAGCTGAAGTCGAGGTCCCACTGCCGCATGTGTCACACTTATCGGGGTTCCTGTATCCAAGGTATGTCGCCAACACTCCAAGGCGGGTCGTCTGAGCAGCAAAAACGCGTAATTAATACGTGTGGGATCGTCGTCAACTCGCGCTGCAGTAAAGAGAACCTCCACGCTGAACAACCACCCCTTAACTGTGGTCGTCTTCTCGATACGGTTGAACGGGGGCGGGCTCGCAGGTTTTATATTGATTGTAGTGTGGTTCCAATGCTGCTGGCGTATCGCTCTCGTCGTTGCCGCGTGTGAGCTCGCCACTTGTGACGACGCCACTCACTCCATGGCTGGTGGTCTCGCCTTCGTCAACAAGCGACTCCTGGCGCGCTTCACTTCGTGCCCGGTGTAGCTCAGCGTTTTCTCCACGTAGACTCTCTGCTTCTGTCATTAGTGACTTCATGCTTTCCTGAATTTCTGCCATTTGCGCCATCATCTTGTTACAGTGTCTTGATCCATGAGTCTAGCACTCTGTCTGGTGGGCAAGCGGGTGTCTGTGGTCTTCAGGCAAGCGAAAAGCACGAACTATCGGAGTCGGGACGGGTTGAATTAACAAACCTTGTAGCCACCGCGTCACCACAGTTACCAACGCCACAGTTACCGCCGCTGTTGCAGGAACGTGTACATTCTTAAGAGCAGCCCATGCCTTTGGTCCCTTCTCCGGTTCCCACTGGAATAGCTTGACGTGACAGATTTGACTTCTCCCCAATGCTTGCCCAAGTAGGAGGTAGCCTTGTGCGCTCTTCCGCACCCATGGGCTCTTCTCTGGGTCGTTCTTAGGGCGCTTCTCCGTTCCTTCCATCACCTCCAACAGGCTATAATCGTCAAAGATGTTCTCCATCTTGAAGGACCATTCAGCAAAATCGTCACCGTTGAACTTGTAAAGGCCAAACACTCTAGGCTCATCCCTAGATGGGCCAAGACTTTCACGGGGTTGGCCTTGCGCTTCGGCTTCACCATTGCCTCCAGCACCTCTGCCACCCCTTTCTTCAGGTCCAGCCATAGTCGAAGCTGCTCCAAGCACTCTGATACCGCTTGTTATTGTCACAATAAGCTTCAATGTGCCTAAAACGAAAGATAGAGTGCACAGTCGCATTTTTGCAAGTGGCTTTTTACGTTCATAGCGTTCTGGCCACAGCTCAAAATGTGATGGTGCATCTTAACGTCGTCTACAACAAGCAATTTAGATCGCACGATTTCATCAAGTATTGACGACGCAACATCAGTTTGAACGAACGGCACTATGGCAGCCACTATAGTCTTAGAACACAAGATAGGAAGAGTTACGAGTTGGGAATGACTCCCAGCTCCTACAAATCCGAAGAGCTGGGGTGCAGTGATGTGGAACATTGCCACCCTATCCCCAACCAAGAAGGTTCTCGAAACTACCCTCCACGAGGGCCTACTCTAGGAGAAATGTTACACTACAAATTGTAACATAACTATTCTCACTATCTTGAGCTGTACCCCTTTTTGTCGGCTTCAAGATCACTCGAATCTTGAAACCAAGGCTCTGGTTCTTCACCATAAACTCATCCTTGAGTTCTTGAAGGGTCTGCTGCACACACCTGTGACACGCCGAACGTTCGACACACAACAAAGTAGAAACCGCGCACGAGACACACGACAAAATAGAAACCGCGCACGAGACACAAATGACCGCGTAACACGCGACTAGCGATGAATCACTATTGACTCGACACACACATTCGACTTAGTGACTCATCACTCACACACTATCATAAGCATGAAATATATATTGTTTTATGCCCCTCATATCATTCTATGCACACACGATCTTCCAGCGATGTTGATGCATGGGGCAGTGGGTGTGAAGCACCTCGTGCAGCGACTGTCAGGGCTGGGATTATGCTCGTCTGTCTCACAAGGGTGAAGGTTGCGCCTAATCCAGGGTCAGCCGTCAGAATGTTTCTAGGGATTTTCTGACATGTACTCAAACTCCAGTGGCAAGAGATCGATGAGTTCG